TGTCCAAAAACAAGTCCAGTTTGTCCAGCAGTTCTCAGAATTCTCCAGGAGTCTCCAGAAGGTTCCACGCGTCTACCAGGGTATAAAAGCGCCACGTGTTGCGCAGAGACGGACCCACCTTTCCGTTTCCCAGAGCGCCACGCGTAACCCCACCAACTCCTCTCTCTCTGCCACATGCTCCCACGTGGAAGTCATGCAGCATCTCCCTCCACCATCAGCCACCACGTGTAAGCCTTAGAAGCTTCGCCGGAAATCGCCACCGGCCGCCTTGCATGTACTCCGGCCACCTGAACCAACTCCGGCCACCGTCCTTTCCACCGGAATCTGCAAATTTCCAGAAAATCATCAGAAACCTCCTATCTTCTTCTTTCTCCCCAGACCTCCTCCGTCTACCCTCATCGGTGCATCACCGGAAACTTCAAAGAATTTCCAGAATCATCATCCTCCTCCATCAAACCTTCGTTCAACAACAGATCTTCATCTAATTTCATCCTAACCTTCATCACCTTCATCCCACAGTTTTCCAGAAATCCACCTTCATCATTCATCCGCCTCCAACAAAATTTCCAGAAACCCTAAATCTTCATACTTTCATCCCAGTTTTTCCAGAAACATTCATACCTTCAACAAACTTTTCCAGAAAGCAACAGACATTCATCCTTCAAGCGGTATCTCCAGAACGCCATCATCAATATCCAGATCTTCATCAGCGCTCAAAGAACTTCGCGCTTCAAGACATTTCAGCGAACATCCAGGATCCTTTATCTTGTTCGTTGCTTCGCCCAGAGATTCGAGAATAGAGTTTGTGTGAGAGCTGTTGAGAGGTTCGTTGAGATTCTGAGAACTCTTTCTCCAACGAGTGTCAAGAACTCTTCGCTACAGGTACACGTCATCTCACTCTGGTTGCGTATTTCGTCTGTATGATGATGCTTCTGTGTTGATTCGTTGAGTTTTAGTTTCGTTTAGGGTTTAATTGTGTGTGAGGCTTGGATTGGGGGGATATTGGTGATATAGTGGCGTGTTGTGGTTGTTGTATTTGAGAGGCGTAAGATTGTTCTGGGGGGATGAGTTGCAGAGAGAGTGAATAGTTGGGGAAGGAGATGAGGAAGACGGCGCTAGGTATTTGGATGAACAGTACCCTGAGAGGTTAGGAGGAAGATGGTTTTTGGTTAGGTATTGTCTGGATTAGGGTTTGTGTGGATTGGGCTTAGGCCCAAGCGTGGCTTCTGAAGCACACCCAAAGTGCTCAATTTCCCCCCCCTGGCATATGAGTCTGAGTGAATGGGAGTTGGGCCTTAGGCCCCAATTTACTTCTTGCACCCCCTGGGCGTAAGCCCAGTAAGAAATAAACTGAAACTTTGCTAATGTGACACCCCCCTGCTTTGCAGTCCAGTTTTTTTATTTGTTTTTGGTTAGTAGACCTGGGCCTGCGCACCAACTGCTGTTGGCACCCCCCAGAATGTGGGCCCATCCAGAATAGGCTTATATCTTGCTGTTTGCACCCTCCATGTCACTTTCTTTTATTTTTAATTTTTCTTTTATATTTTAATAGTTAGAAATTCATAATAAATTGAAATAATTGTTTGTTTCAATAATTCTTTTTTCCATCCATCTCATGAAAATGTTAGGAAAATCCAATAAAAATAAAATTGTCATTTTATTTTTTTGTTTGTTATATTTTGCATATTTTTTCAATTAATTGATTTGTTTTTAATATTTTTAATGCATGCATATCATTAAAAAATTCATAAAAAATAGTAGAATTAGTCAAATAATTCCGTTCTTTTTTCTGTAGACTCGTAATTCAGTGTAGAATTTTATAGCATAAAAACATTAGCTCAATCATGCATTTTCATTTTAATTGCATTTTTCACTGTTATTGATGTTGAATAAATTGGTCTGTTGGCATGTCTGTGTTGCTGATTTTATTTCTTTCATCTGGTATTGAATTTTATTCTGATTTTTCAGTATGTTATCTTAGAGCCATGTAGGTCTCCCATTAGATTTTTGATAGATTTTTGTAGGCTATTCTGATAGGATTTGTCTGAGCCTGAAGATAGGGGAAGTCTTGATGACTTCTGACTTTGGAGTTCAACTGTGGTTGAACTTCAGAGATAGTCTTTTGTTGGTTTGTTGGCCTGTGGATTCTTCTTGAAGGTGGGAGCTGATGGAGGTCCTGTTGGAGCTTGCAAGGTTGCATTGGATTGAGGCTTAGTCTAGGAGCTTGTTGTCTGTTTGTGAGGTTCGAGATCCTGAAGTTTGAAGGGAGTTTATGGTACTTTCCTGAGGAAGGCACTATGAATGACTTTCATCCTTCCTTCTCACCTCTTTCTTAAGTATCCAATGATGTCGGAGCCGACTTGTGAGTTTAATTTCTCCTGAGGAGGAATGTAAACTGATCACAGTTGTTGAGCCACGTAGGATACGATTCCTAAGTGTTAGCCTCCTAGTACTTTCCTGAGGAAGGTCCTAGGGGTCTATTCACTTAGTTCCAGTAGTTTGTCTAGGATTTCTCAAGTATCCAGTGATGTTGGAGCCAACTTGTGAGTTTAATTTCTCCCGAGGAGGAATGTAAACTGATCACAATTGTTGAGCCACGTAGGATACGATTCCTAAGTGTCAGCCTCCTAGTACTTTCCTGAGGAAGGTCCTATGAGTCTGTTCACTTAGTTCCCTTAGTGCATATAGGTTCTTTCCCAAATATCCAGTGACGCCGGAGCCTTCATGTGAGTTTAATCTCTCCTGAGGAGGGATGTAAACTGATCACAGTTGTCGAGCCGCATAGGATATGATTCCTGAGTAGTAACCTCCTGGTACTTTCCTGAGGAAAGCACTATGAGCTTGCCTGCTTAGCTTCCTTTCTCTGGTAAGCTTATTCTGAAGCTTGGAGAATGGGATTGATTCCCCTTGCCTAGGAGTTTGTTTAGATCCCTGCTTAGGGTTTTGGATTAGATTTGTTGCTTAGATCCCTGCTTAGGGTATTGTATAGAGTTTTGTTTAGAGAGTTATTAGGAGCTTGTTTCAGGTTTGTTAGAGGCCCTGCTCAGGGTTAGTCTCGTTGTTGTTTGACTTGTGTGATATTGTGTTGCATTAGACTTAGGTGTTCATCTAGATAGCTCTGAGTAGGTGCATCTTAGAAGTAGACTTTGTGTGCATGAGAAGTTGAGGTGGTCCTCCTTCTGCTTGTTTGTTATTGCGTGGCTTTGCTTGTTGGTATTCGGTAGAGCTGAGCTCCCTTGCCTTTGTGGTTTGCGGCCTTCGCGCCTTGTTTGTCTAGTTGTTGCATTCATGCATATTTTCAGTATTCATTTACATTGCAGTTTCCTGTTTGTAGTTTAGTCCTGTTGCCATGATCCCTTAGGAGCTCTGACTTCTCCGCTGCGGAGTTGTTATGATAGACATTAGGATGGTTAACCAGGCATGGTATCAGTAGGTAGATTCCCCTTTCTCAGCTATAGTTTTAGGGTGTCTTTTCCCTTTCCTTTCTGTAGGAGCTTTTGAGTAGCTTGACCCGTAGTTAGCTGAACTACAGCTGCTCTGATTCTTCGTTCCAGACGAAGATATGTAGGCATAGGATGCGATATCCTAGCGAGCACACTAACGACTAACCTTTGTTCTCTCGCGGCTGTGCGATCGAGACTTTCCCGCTAACGTCTAATTGTTATCCCTTTCTCTTGCCCGAGCGCATTTGAGACCAGATTGTATTTGTAGGTTCCCGAGCCTTAGAGACCAGTTTGTTTTCTCACTGCTGTGTGAGAGCCCCTGTTTACCCGTAGTTAGCCGAACTACGTTTGCTCTGATCTTTCATTCCCGATGAAAGTACGTAGGCACAGGACGCGATGTCCTGGCGAGCAACCTTTCCCCCGTTTAGACGTAGGAAGTCGAACTACGTTGACTCTGACTTTCCCATTGCACGAGGGAATACGTAGGCCCAGAACACCGTATGTTCTGTCGAGTCCTGTCCTTTTATTTTCTTTTCAGACCAGCCATTAGCGTAGATAGATAACACACCCTTTTACCTATAAACATCAAGCGTGGATCCCATCGAGTACGATGGACGTGAGGGGTGCTAATACCTTCCCCTTGCGTAACCGACTCCCGAATCCAGGTTTTGGTTGCGATGACCATACCTTTTTCCCGTCTTTGCGAGGTTTACTTCGAGCGTTTCCTTTCCCGCTCTGAGGGATAAATAACGCACGGTGGCGACTCTCCTGTCAAGCCGGCGCCGATTTTCGCAGTAGCGACAGTATGCATTAATTTAATGGAGTAATACTTGTAGATTTAGTTATCAAACTCTAGAAACATCTTTTTACAGAGTTAAGTTACAAACTTACAATAGAAATACATAAATATGACAAAGAGGAGGAAAGGGAAAACGATCTCTTAGTAACTTGCATTACAAATGAATAAAATAAAAAGTTTGAGTACAAAATTTGCAGCATGAAAATATCTGCTCTATAATAAGATTGTTGTAAATCAGAAAAGATCCCTATTCAATAGATCATTAAAATTCCAGTAAATCTGAAACCTCTAATGTAATAATGTTTGTATACCTTAAACCTCTCTTATACAACGCCGAAGTTAAACACGTGTAGGCCTAATAAAGTATTGTAATGCCCCTTTTCAATTTCTTCTTCCTTTACTTGATGAAGAATAAGTGTCTCAATAATGAAGTCTTCCGAATAAATACCATCAACTACCACTCCTCTTCTCTTCTTCCTTTTCTCATTACAAGTGCTATCTAAAATGCCAAGAGGTACAGTTTCATCAAGATCAGCATTTAATGGATGAGTTATTCTTTTTATCCGCTTCCTTGCAGCATCAATCCTCTCTCGCCTTATTTTACATTTCAATTGACCATTAACAAATGAAGGTGGCATGGTTTCCTCCCTAATATCCTTCTCTAGTAACTTTCTCAGTATAAGCTTTCTGCTCAGTTCTGATTCTCCATCCCACCACTCTCTACACTCGTGAAAATCAGATTCAACCCTTCTTCGTTTCTAAACATTTATAGTCCTTGACAACATAGCACCACGATTCTCATTTAAAAACTTCTCATAAATCTGAGATAAACATTCAGGTGAAATCTGTGACGTATCAATATCTCTGATCTCTTCTCTATCCGTATTACTTGGCAATGAAAGATACTGAGAATATTTTGGTGAAACTAATCCATCAACCCCATATTCATATCCATTCTCTTGTGCCAAGCACTCGGCAACTACTTCTTCCAAATCAAACCTAGTCTGATCAAGATTCTTCCTCTTCTCAACAGGTTTTAACATAGACTTCTTCTCCATATACTGAATCACAAAAGGAGCATTCTTAACAATATTCTTCTTAGTTATATCTTTTCCCCAAGGCAACACTTGTGAAATTTTCACAAGTGTCTCAAGAAGCTCTTTATACCTAGTTCTACAAGTGGAAACAACAACATGAACCTCCTTCGCCAAATCTTCTTTACGAACTTCAACTTGGTTAATTTCAGCAACCAAAACCAAAATCGCAACAACCAAAGGAAGCGGCCGATGACCGGTACTCAAAAACAACTTCACAGCACATTGCAACAAAAACACTCCCTTTTTCTTCATTTTATCAATCAAACTCCTATCAACATCATCAAAACAACAAGAGCTATTAATAGTCCTTTCCAACGAATACACAATATCAAACTCAGGAAAATCACTTCCTCTCAAATCCAAAAAATCAATAACCCTAAGAATCATTTTCCCAAGCTCATAAACATCACAAGCAAGAGCATTAGCAATTTCCGCCATAGGTAAAGGACGATCACTCTTCCGCATTACGACATAATAACAGGCCTCAATCAAAACTTGAAACCAGTTCCCTTGACCGAATTCACCATCGGTGATATCAGAAATCATGAATTTAATTTCAATAGTTTTGGAACATATCCCTAACCTATTAGTGAATTCTTCAATGGAATTACGAGTGGATAATAATTTTCTGTCTTTGTAAGAGTAAAAGTTACCTGAACCTGAGGTTCCGATGTGGACGAAGGTGCCTTGTGGACCGTTGATGCCGCCGGTGAAGGATTTGTATTGATCGAAGGGTTGAACAATGCCGCAGGAGGCACAGAACAATCCTCCGGTGTCGTCGTCGCGTGAAAGAGAGGTGTTGTTGCAGCTGGTGCAGAGATGAGAGGTAGACATGGAATTGGGAATAAAAATTAAAGCTTTTGATCAATTTCAATGGCGATAACGAAATTATGGCGTGAATGTGCCGATACTAAACGTGGAGTTATAGTTTCTGTTTTTGGTTCAACGAAAACCCAGTGATGCAATATACCCTAATTCTGTTACACCAACTGTTGAGAAGCTCAAAAGTTGTCACTCCTAATCGACAGTACATGTACTACTCCCTCCTCTTACATACTTCATAAAAAAGAAAAAAGAATATATGTATTAAAAAAAGTTTAATATCGATGAGGCTAATGATTTTATTTTAGTTTTTTTAATTTATTAAAAGAAATTTTTTGATATTCATGAGTTTAAATAAGAGTATTTTAGTGCAAATTCTTTTAAAACTTTAATTTATTTTAAAATAAAATAAAGAAATGATAGTGGTGTTAAATTAGAGTGTTTGATTGGTTAATAGAATGAATACTCAATTAAATTCAAAGGTATTAAAGGATTTACCATTACCACGTAAAAATACAAAAATATCTTTAAATTTCGTAGACGCATCTTCGAATGTATCCTAAGTGAATAGAATTACGACAATGAGAAAAACTGCAAAGATGCATCTTCGTGCATATTTCAAAGATATATTTCCGAACTGTATTTGTTCAAAAATACGTTAGAACCTCACTCTTAAGACCTTGCCTGACCTTGTGAACCTCTGTTCGACCCCCAGCGGGAGCGTTTTTGTGTTATTTTCATTTTATTTCTTTGTTTTGATATTTTATTTTCCTTTTCCACTTGTTTAACATGTGTGAGAATGATTTCGTTGGTTATGTGTTGTGCTTGCAGTCCCAAGGTCAAGGGTTTAACTCTTGGTGGGAGCATTTCCTAATTTTTAACACTTACCTTCTTTTTATTTATTTTATTTTATTTCCTTCTTTTCTTTTCTTGTTTTTATTTTATTATTTTAATGTGTTTTGTTTTATTTTTCATCCTTTTATTTTATTTTATTTTCCTTTTTATTTTATTATTTTTATTTTGAATCTATCAATTTATTTTCTTTCTCTTTTCACTTGTGAGTGAATTATTTATGTCACACCTTTTTTGAAATCCTCCATCCAACAAATTTGATGTGGGGATCATTCTGGTTTCCTCTAGGCAATTGGAATTCATTTTTGTTATTATGAACTATTTCTCTAAATAGATTGAGACAATGTCGATATCAAAGATCATCGATTGGGTGTTTCTACTAGAAGAAACATTTATAAATTTGAGCGTCGTCTCCAATAATGAAACTCAACTCTCCAACTCAACAATAAGAGAATCTTGCCATAATTTGGAAATCCAAACCAATTTGTCTCGATGAAACATCCTTAAGCTAAGGAATCAAGTCGAATCTTCCAACAAAATCGTCCTATATAGCATAAAGAAAAAACTAAAAAAGCCAAAGGGCACTCCAAGCCTTTATTTAATTAACATTTTGTTACTGAGTTATAGGTTTTATGGTTGTATCACATGACGCTCCAATTCTCTACGAAGGAAACACAATATCAAGTATTGTATGGTTCATATGTCATGCGACTCATGGATAAAGATCGATCTTCTCCACCTCTTACAGATCAATCTCACAAACTAAACAATTCTTTTGCTGAGAGTTACTAAAAATTCTGGAGAATCTGAATTAAAGTGGTGCATTCCCTACCTACGTGTCAACCCAAAAAGAGGTGTGGAGACCATAACCAACTTTCTTACTAATACTGTTCTTAAACCAATTAGAACTTCATTTTCTTTTTAAAGAGAATAAATTTTGAATTTGTGTTCAAAAGAGGATGTCATTTATTTCTGACATCATAACTTATATAGCCCAAAACCTAAGTTCTAAAACATAACTGAAACACAAACTTAAACAAAGTATAAGAAAAACTAGAAGAAGAAAAATACAAAATCTAGAACAAAATTCACTCAGCATAAAATTCAAGAATCCACACCTCTTTTTGGGTATGTCAAATCTGATCTGCATTAATTTAATGGAGTAATACTTGTAGATTTAGTTATCAAACTCTGGAAACATCTTTTTACAGAGTTAAGTTACAAACTTACAATAGAAATACATAAATATGACAAAGAGGAGGAAAGGGAAAATGATCTCTTAGTAACTTGCATTGCAAATGAATAAAATAAAAAGTTTGAGTACAAAATTTGCAGCATGAAAATATCTGCTCTATCATAAGATTGTTGTAAATCAGAAAAGATAACTATTCAATAGATCGTTAAAATGCCAGTAAATCTGAAACCTCTAATGTAATAATGTCTTTATACCTTAAACCTCTCTTAATAAACGCCGAAGTTAAACACGTGTAGGCCTAATAAAGTATTGTAATGCCCCTTCTAAATTTCTTCTTCCTTTACTTGATGAAGAATAAGTGTCTCAATAATCAAGTCTTCCCAATCAATACCATCAACTACCACTCCTATTCTCTTCTTCCTTTTCTCATTGCAAGTGCTATCTAAAATGCCAAGAGGTACAGTTTCATCAAGATCAGCATTTAATGGATGAGTTATTCTTTTTATCCGCTTCCTTGCAACATCAATCCTCTCTCGCCTTATTTTACATTTCAATTGACCATTAACAAATGATGGTGGCATGGTTTCCGCCCCAATATCCTTCTCTAGTAACTTTCTTTGTATAAGCTTTCTGCTCAGTTCTGATTCTCCATCCCACCACTCTCTACACTCGTGAAAATCAAATTCAACCGTTCTCCGTTTTTAAACATTTGCAATCCTTGACAACATAGTGTTGCACCCCAAATTTTGACCCCTTAGATCTTCATCATCATTCTAGGGTCATTTTCATTTGTTTATCTAACCATAACCTATTTCAAGTTTGTCTTTGTTAAGATACAGGTGAATTAGGGTTTCTGATCCAGAAAAGTCAACTGTAGTTTGAATTTTGATTTAAAAGGTGTTCCAATGGTGGGATTATGGTTCATTAAGATCATATGGCTTAGGGAAGTCAACTCAAGAAGTTTCAAGACCTCAGAAGATCCAGAACGTCAATAGTTGACTCGGTGGTCATCGATCGATCGTTTCGTTGATCGAAAAGTCAACTCTTCAACCATAAGGAATTTGACCTTAAAGTGTGAATCAAAAATGTTCCTAATGACATATTACACCTATCCATGAAGTTTCATGACAATTGGATCAAGGATGGAGGAGTAATCGAAAAATCGGGAAATTAGGGTTTTGAAAGGGGCAAGACCATAGCTTCCTAACCACACATCCAATTGAGGTGGTTCAAAGCTTGTTGGAAAGGTCTTGAGAATTCCTACAAAAGTCCCATAGGGGTACATGTGAAAAAAATGAATAGATTGGGAGTTATGATCAAAGTCATCACAAGAGGGGAAAACACTTAGAAAATTTCTAAGTTTTCTGGCCTTGCAAATCATGTTTTCAGCTTGGAATATAAAGATCATAAAAACATTAAAGTTATAGAGCTACATGAGGGCTTTCCAAAAAGTACTAGAACACCACCATAGCCCTTGTTAGTTGAGAGTTTTGAGTCCAGCAAGTTGGGTTTTCCACAAATTCATTTTTCAACTACTTGGATCATTATCAACCATTGGATCATGTCTTAACCTGATATTTAGAGAGGTTTATGGTTTAAAATAAAGAAGAAAGAAGTGTTTGGTAGGGTTTGCAAGTTGGCAAGACAAGTTGCCAATATTTTATTCAAGAAAAACAAGGAGGAAAGAGAAACTTTTTGATGGAAGTCTTGCAGCTGCAGTGCCCTATACTCTATGCTCACTTAAATTACCTCATGTCCTTCATTTCACTTGAGTTTTTCCCTACATTGAGCCAAGGAACTGATGTGTTCAGCTACCACACAATCTTGGCAAGATTTCCTTTCAAAATCTCCCTCCAAATGCCAATGTACCAAATCTGCCCTCACCCATCATTTCCCTATAAATAGAGGCTTCCTTCCACTATATTTTTCACACCAAAGCTATCAAGAAAACCAGAAATACTCAGCTCTCTCTCTTTCTCCCTTTGCTTGAAAGTGAAAGAATTAAAAATCATCACTTTTCACCACTTTACACTTTTCATACCAGATCTTGTTCCAAACATTCCACCACTTCAAAAACCATATACACACCCTTAAAATGACCCTCTAAATCTGTTCCCACCATTGGTTTCTCCCAAAAATCTTTGGATCAAAAAGTCAACTGTTCACACACCATAGTTTGACTTTTGTGCATCTTTCATACCAAATCACTACCTATATCCATTCCTACCATTCTAACACTCCAAACACCTCATATCCATGATACTCTAGCTATCTTAAGTCTCAAACAACAGCTGGAAGTTCATTTGTTCAAACTGTCCACAAGATTGCACTTTTCTTCAAAGGGAAGTAACATCACAAGCTTGCTCAAAGGGAAGGATTTATCTCTGGTTTTCTTGGCTACTAGCATAGGGAGGACTACAAGAGGTATGTAATCCTAAACCTTCTCATTATTTGGCATCATATATGTATGGATTTGGTTTGTTGGATAAGTTAGACATTGTTATGTTATAAATTTTGTTACCAAAACTGTCTTGGAAGTTAAAGCTTGTCTCATTTCCAATTGCTGCTTGTGTGCATTGATGACTGACTTTTGAATCTTGCATTAGGGCTTGTTGTTCATTTAATAATTGTTGAGATGAGTTTACTTGGATGTTGATAGCACAAGACTCTGGTTGTTGGATGTTTCTTATGCATTGTAATAACCAAAGCTGTCATAAGGCACCGATTGGCAATTATGTGGTATTATAATGATCAGGACTGTCATTTTGTAGAGTTTGTCAACTCATGACCTGATTACTGTTAGGGCTTGTTTCACTTTTATATTGCTAAGTTGGTTGCCATATTTCAGTGAGCAATGTGGTGTATGTTAGATATGCAGTTTATGTTAAAAGGATTGAGGGCAATTATTGTCATGGATGTTGGTTGAGATACCAAGTAACATACTGTTGCTTTTAGGTTTGAGATT